GTGGGCAGGATAGAAGCTTTCCTGCAGTTCTCCACAGCCTGTGTGAGCTTCTTTAGTCAGTGATTCAAGGTCAGCTTAGTCTTTTTTCTTAAAGATACGTAGTTCTCTTAAGACCTAACTTAGCTGCTTTTCTGAGAGATTTAATGTTCACCTTTTATGGTCTAAGAAAACAGTCCAAACTGAGCCCCTAGTGTGAGTGCCGTCAAGAAGCCATGGGAAGATGCAGTTCTGTGGAAGAACAAGTATCTACAGGATTACACAGCAAACCTGCAGGAGATATATATATATATATTTATGCCCATCTGTCACTATATTTTAAAAGAAATTATTTTTTCTTAGAATGGTGTAGAATGATGAATAAGAATAATGAGATTACCAGAGCTCAGCTGTGAAAATAGTGAATTAAGAAATTGTGTAACATGCCTCCTGTAGCAGTCACTTTATCTGCAGAGATGGAGGTAAATATGATACCCAGCTTTAGAAGTTCATGGGTGCTCTAGCAACCTGCAGACTATGAGTCTGTCTTCTTTACCATCCAAGTCTTTATAAATTGTAATAATGAGTATATGTAGTAGCCAAATACATAGATAAAAAGTTTACATGCCATTTGTAGAGGGAAGTCACTCTTACTCATGTATTGCAGTTCTTCAAAAGAGTCAACAGCATGTGGATGAGGGTGGTCTTGCGAGTCAAGTGTACTTGGATTTCCAAAAACTATTCACAAAGTCCTTCACAATGATTTCTGAAGAGGCCAAACTTCTGCAGAAGAAAATGAAAACTATCCTTTCAAGGATACAGTACTTGTTACAAGACGAGTAAGTTTTCGTGGTAGTGGAGGTTTCCATTGGAGTCTCATGAGAATATGTGCTGGGAAATGTGTTCAGCTATTCATGAAGAGACTTAGAAAAGTAGTGGAGTGGTGGAACAAGGATATGAAGAAATTTTCTAATAATCAAAAAATGTTCAGGATGGCCAGAATTAGGGCTAATGGCTAAAGGATTTATTAATCCTTAGTAAGTGAGTAAAAAGGTGATGCTTGAGTCTTACAATCAATAATGTAAGGGGTGGGGGAAGACAATTATGTGTGCAAAGCAATGGACTCTAAAATGAGCTATTACTTTTAAAGAAAGACATCTTGAACTCTTTGGGCGGGCCTCTGAAAACATCAGCTCACATATTGCCAGCCAAAACCATGAAAAGAATGAGGAGAGGAACAGAGAGCAAAATAAACAGTCATTACACCACTAAATAAATCCAGGATATGCTCACATCTTGAATATTAAATGCAGTTCTGGTTACCCCATTCCAGAAAGTAAATATTAGGATATAAAGTACAAAAATACTGGTCAGAAGTACAGAACAGAGTGAGTTAATAAATGAGGAGAACCTCCTTTGGTGTAGAAAAAGATCAGAGGTGTGCTGAGAGGAAAAAGCATAATAAAATCATGGAGAAGGTGAATATGGAATGATTACACTCTTTGTAACACAGGAACTCTGAAAACAAAACAAAGGAAGCTCTTTTTCACATAATGCATAGTTAAGTTGTTGGATTAATCACCCCAAGATCTTGAGGCCAAAAATATGATTGTTTTCAAAATGAAATTAAAAAACACACATAGGATGGATTCATATTGCCAGTAAACACAATGGCCTAAATATGCCTTGTGTCTCAGAAGGTCCCTTACCAGATCGCCAAAATCCTTTCTAGAGAAAGGACCACTCTGTTTGTCTGCTTTATACTCTTTCCCAGCATCTGCTGTTGGCTGTTGTCAGATTACTTTTGGCACCAGTATAGCCACTCTACTTATGTATTCTTTTGCTGATATTCAAAATTGAATACATTTTGAGTTTCTAAGCCTTTAATCAGGGGTTTAAAAACTACAGATCAGAGTGGTTGATGCTTTTACACTTCACGATAAAACTTGAAGGACATTGCTTATCAGGAAAGGTGACCATGCAGTCTGTAAAAATCCAGCTTGCTTAAGCTATGACAAAGTAAAGACGTGAACCCCAGTCTGAAAATGCTTTCTTTTATTTGTTTGTTAAAGTATGTTTTGTATGTAGAGACCTGTATATGGAGTTGGAAAGGTTTCCATATAGGGTTCATCAATAGTTAATGCTTCTTGTAGCCATGTCAGATAAACAGTGTTGTTTCACTTCGTGTTTATATGTCTTCAAGTGATGTGTCCCACTTGGGCAATTTCAAAAGGTTTTCAGGCTCAGATGGGTTTGTGTAATGATCCTCATTTGAGCTGGAGATCTTCAGAGAACAGGCACTCTCATGAGACTGCTGGTATTTCCTGTTTCTCATCAGACCAGAAATACAGTAGCAGAGGAAGAGCTTTTCTCTTAGCACTGTATGGTATTTGAGATTCTGCCTGAATCTAGGAAGTGCCACAGTACATAAAACTGACAGAAAACAAACAAACAAATTTAGTGTTCAGACCACAGAAAAGTTTCATATTTGAGTTGTGTTTGGACAGCAGTGGTTCGCCCCTCCCTAGACTTGTGATACATTTTTGCTCAGAGTTAAGGACAAAGGTGACATTTTTTGAAGTTAATTACATGCTTTTTTGTAAATCTATCTGCTATGTAGCACTGACATAAGCATTTTATGTTGTAAAGACAGTGGTATTGTACAGTGGTACTTAACACACTAATTATAATGTAACACTTCCTTGTAGGACTAAACGTATTTATCTAAAAATATCTTTTAATGAGATATGCATTATATTAAAATAGGGTCTCATTGATTTTCTTGAAAGCTATCTAGTGATTTCTTTAATAAAATTTGTGATTGCAGGTATAAATTGATACATATGTATATTTTAAACCCAAAAGGTCAAACACCAGTTTCAGGCAGTTCCAATATAGACAAGTTAGAACCAGCACAGATTTCTCTTGACGCAGAGGATAAACAGAGACACAGAGTGACTAAGTGTGTGCTTGTGTCTTTCCAATACTTATGCATACACATTTTACATTTTAACAATTTTAAAAATTCACTTTTTTTTGTATTTTTTGAAATATTTATATATCTTAATGGTGTGTTTGTGTGTGTTGTTTTTATTTATATTTATAATGCAATAAAAATAACTATGTATAAAACAATGCTGAAGAGTAGGTGATTTTGTCTTGTATTTCAAATGTATTCCAGCTGCTTTGGCTGTTATTTTCACCTTGCTGACCACGTGATTTCGCTGTGGTGAATATGTGCGTAAATGAGGTTTTTCTTGTGGATTTCCTGTAGATACTGGGAAGTTGCAGATTATGCAAAGGTGGCAAGACAGTTTATTATTCCGGATGTCAAAAGATGTAAAAAGCTTCTGAAATGATTTGTTTAAAATATTCCTCTTTTGGTGTATGAGAGGAAAACCTACTGTAAGTGCCCAAAACACCTAATTATCCTGTGGTGTGTTGCTGTACTTTAAAGCCATTTCCTGTGAATAAATCAGGAACAGAAGCAAACTGTTACTGCTACCTCTAATTTGAGAAATTTTAGAAACTCTGCTCAAGATCTTTTCCTAAAGAAAACCTAAGTGATATATACATGCCCTCAAAATTCTAATTTTTTTTTACTAGTTTTAAAAGTTGGGTTTGTTGTTTTTTTTTTTTTTCCACTCACAATTGGTACTCGGAAGATTTTAAAATTTGGGTGAAACAGATGACGGCATAATCACAGTTCAGTCGTCAGTGAAAGTTTGCCATACTGAGCAATGCTGCTCTTGGTTGCCTCAATGGTAAAATTTTTTTGGCTTGAAGAAGCTAATTCAATGAGATAAGTAAGTTTATGGGAAATGAGTAGTCAATCTAAAGAAGATGAATGTACTTCACCATCTAGAGGTGGTCCCACCCTTGCTTTAAGCTGCTTCTCTGTTGAATATAAAATTTGCACTGGCCCAGGTTGCACCCATCTGTTACCTGATCTTTTTCAGTCCATTTCTCTTGGTGAATTCAGAACACTGAATTAAAATCACAGCTCCTTCTGCAGTGTTTCTGGGAATAGAGTGCATCAAAATGAGATTCAAAACTTGCAGCAATTTCAGAATACAACTATCTAAAATCAACAGGCAGCTGCCTAAGACTAACAAGGTGGTAGGAATGCTAGAAAAGGAACAGCTGAGGGTGGACACCCTTCTTGATTGTTTCCCCTCCTGGACCTCAGAGATATTCTGCTCTGTGCTTTAGAAAGGATCTCTCTATTCTGTGGAGGTGCAAAAGTCAGAGCACTGTTCTAGGCTCTTGCTTTAAAACATACCTGGGCATGGCACATTCCTTTCAGATACAGCCAGAGGCATGGCTGATAGTGCCCATCTTTTGTACTATAGGTTACTTAGAGCACTTCCACAAGAATTTGTTTTGGTCAGTGATTTTCTTAGCCTAAAGGCTTTTATAAAGACAGCTTTCACCACTTGTAATAAGATCCTAATCAGAGACTAGAGAATAGTAAATGAGAATATTTTTCATTGTGCTTATTGAAAGTGTGCAGGAAAAATTCAAGTATCCCTGGATCAGGAAGAAAATCTGTGAGGAACCAGGAATTTTTTGACTTGCTACTTACTGCATTTTTTTCAGAAGCAAAAGCTTGTGGTCTCTAGTGCTTGTTCTGAGCATCACTGTTGTGTTTCACATGGAAGAATTATTTGGTAAAATTCTAAAGTGGTCTCAAGTGTTACTGAGGGTGGTGCTGCGTAGAAGACAATATGGTGAGAGTAGTACCTTATAGGGTATAATGTAGAGTGCATGGGCAGGAGCTCCACTCCAGATCCCCTCTTTGAATAGAAAGCAGCTTTGCTACCACATCTGTAGGCACCCCAGAGGTCCAGGTGTGTTTTATTAATGGTTTAAGAATACCTATCAGACTGGTCACCTCACACATTTTAGTAGAGTTATGTCTTCTGAATCTTGGAATTGATCCAGGCATTGAATTGTCCAGTTCACTGAGACTTGGAAAATTTGCATTATCCTCAGAAGAACACAGAGGACTTTAATGGAAAGTATGAAGAGTGGGGTGTATCTAGGTTTGAGAATCAGATTTAAACACATAATCACCATCTAAATTTTAGGTGCATGCTAAGGATCTAAATTATCTGTTGCATCTGGTCCACAAAGCCATTTTGACTTACTGCTTTGCTTTTTTTCTTCAGTCTGTTCTGTTCCACCTCTTTTCTTTCCGTCTAGGATGGAATACTACAAGGACTGAGGAAAATCCTTAGATCTCTGCACACATGCTAAGTTACTGTTTGAAATCAAAGATGTCTGCATGCTCTTGCAGAACTAGGTCTCTACATTGCATTAATTTTATGTCATCACTTCAAATTTATTAGTTAGAATATATGTGCCATAGGTTAAATTGCTATATCAACATATGATTGCATGGCTGAAGAGTGCTTTCACTTCTAGTGGTTTTAAGGTGGCCTCATTTGTTGCAATACTACAGGAATGTGAGGCTTTTAAAGGGGGAACTCTCAAAGGGTTTGAGCCATATGAAACCATAACCAGGTATCTACTCAAACTAACATCAAGACTTCTCTGTAAGCTTAATAGTGTAAATTCAGGTGCTCTAAACCAGGTAATGCATTGCTGATTACCTGAAAATCCTTTGTAGACTCTCAGACAGGCCTTCATGGGAGATAGTGCCAGGCAAGTACTAATCTGAGGGCAGAGGGAAGTCACATATAAGTTCCTGGAGTAAAATACAGGAATGTTGAATACAGAACTAAGGAAAGATGAGATGAGGGAATACCCCAAGTGTGATTAGTGGTGTTTTTGCATTCATGTGTATATGTAGAGAGAGGATAAGAGAGAAAGACCGATGCAGAGTGAGAAGCAAGAACGTGATGTCACCAGTGAAGGTAAAAGCACAAGATGTGTGATATTGTTAGCATTCTCGGAAGAGTTTTCTCCCAGATCATCAGTTTGCAACATATACAAAACCTTGGTAAGAGCAGCAAGATGTACCCACACCAAACGATCCAGCTTTGGAGACTGGGGTTGAATAGAAGGATTTCCTGGAATGAAATATGGAGAAATGTTGACCAAAACATTAATAAATGACTGCCATGTAGTTATCAAACATACATCAGTTGTCAAAGTCATCATGAGCTCTGTAAGCCAATTAAAATGTTTAGTATACATTTTTATTCTTTTTATGGTAAGTGAGAAAACAGTAATGCAATAAAAGGAAGGTGTGCCAGAGTGAGGTCTAGAGTTCAAGCAAAATGCTTCAGTGGAGTAATCTGATCGCCTCAGCTTGTTCTGTAGTATTGCTGAAGATATTTCTAAATCAGCAAATCCACCCACAACATGATGAAACCAGAAAAAATAAAGAGGAGCAGGGGGGAAGTCTTGCATGGGGCAGGGATATAGGAGATCCGGTTTGTGTTCCCATCTTTCTCATTAGCTTTTGGTTGACAATAATGGTGGAGAAGGAAAAGGATTTTCTCACTTTCCCTGCTAACACTTTTGTCACGTCTACTTATCTTGTCTACAGTTCACACTGAAATAAACTGAATATTCACACTGCTGTTATGGTGGTCAGCAAGCATTTGTGCTCACACTGACCCTGATACGCTGCAGGTATGCGTGTAACCCCAGAAGAAGCCTTGCTGCAGGTTGCCCAGCGGTTCCTTATGGCCCTTCTAGGAGGGACCCCACAACAACATGGCATCTCTGCAGCGCAGCTGAAATCCAGAGAGGCAGTTTGGTACGGCACGGCATGGCATGGCACAGCACGTCTGCCCAATCCACACTTCAGATTTTGTGCCAAGGTCCTCATGAAGGGGAGGCATAAGCCTGATTCCCCTACTTTGGAGGTGTTCCCTGAAACATCCCAAAGTTTGCTCAGCTTTTCATACTAAAAAATGTGCAAGGCATGCCTGAAATCATCACAGACATGGGCCTGTATTTGTGGTGTAGTTTAGATGTAGCCGTATGACTAGAAAAACAGGGACAAGTAAGCAGTATGGCTCGGTATCTACTGAATAATAATATGCTGATAATAACATTTCCTTCAGTACACACATTTCTAATCTTTTAAAGGAGTAAGGCAATGAACTATAGTTTCTATACTGTAATATTGCTTTTTAGGAACTTATTTTGAAATCTTTTAAAACTTCTAAATTTCCAGGAAATAGTTACTTCATTACTACAGAGTTACTAGCACATCTTGGCCTGTTTCCACAAAACTGGGAAAATAACTTTACCAGATGCCAGTGAGTCTTTTGTACAGTGGGAGCAAGTCTATATGAAATCATGAAACAACATGAAGAATGCTACTAGCTAAAAGCCTTTCCTTAAGAAAATACTGAGACTCTTCCTTATGATTCAAAACTCAAATGCACATTTTTCCACTTCACTGCTATGAAAGGAATCCTCTGTTCAAACAAGGTGACTATAATGTTTAAAGGTACAGTTACCAGGTAGTTAAATATGAACTAAATTATTTTTGCTGTTGCTGACTATGAAATGGAGGGTTGCACCTTTCTTCTCTGCTTTCTTTCCTTTCTATTCCCAGTTTTTTCAAAGCAAAATTAGCTTCTCATGATTACTTTCTGGAAGACATAAAACGGCAACAACAGTGCCGCTATTGGTAGTGAAAGATTTTCAAAACATGCACAAGGGAATGTTGGATCAGAGGATGAAATCCTGAATTATCAGTCAGTGGGATTTTACTATCCCATTCCAAACAATGGTTATGATAATTATGTAACATGACAGAATTTGACACATTTTGTGCAATTATTAGTTTATTCTGGATCCGTAATTTCTGATAATAAATTTTAATATAAAGTAGTATGTCAGGCCTTTTAACTATTATCTCTACAAAGGAATTTTTTGTTTTTAATGTCCTGCTATCATCGTTTCAAACTGCTTTTTTTTTCACCAAGTTTCTTTAATCTCTTACCAAAACTCAGTCTGGATTTTAATGATTATGTCGAAAACCTTTCACATTAGTCTGTAGGATGATGTTTGAACACCCAACAAATATAATGATCCACAGAATTTTGTGACAGTGGGTCTGAATGGAGCTATATAAGCAAATATCAAAATTGTATTTTGAAAGATTGCAGGACCTCTAGCAGCAGTAGTGAGCAAAGCACTGTAACTATCCAACAGTGGAACAACTAGGAAAAAAGAGAATAAGAAAGACAATCACCTTGAATTTACACAGCATATGATCATGACTTCTCTAGCTAACCTGAATTGCTATCTGAACATATCTTCTAAAGTTGTCAGTCTCCAGGCAGAACGACATTACCATCCCAAGTCTGTCCTAAGCATATATGGGAGTGGTATTGTATGTCAAGCCCAGCTCGTTGAGATAACTGGAACCAACTTGGAAAAAAACACTGTCAGTGGAAAAGGAAGTTGTGCTAAAGCACATCTTAAGTGCCTGTCCTGGGTTCAGCCACTGCTACTTAATACATACATAATTAGAAATACTATAAATAGAGTACACGTTAGTCTTCTGGTTGTTTCAGCTGTAGGAGAAACCTTTACAGGGCATGACTGTGTATGGCCTCTCTTGTACAGCCATATGATGAAGGAAAGGCTTGGACGTGACCTATTCATCAGCATGCTGACATTTGTATCACAAGGTTAGAGTAATGTGAGATAGATGATAACTTATGTAATGAACTTTTGAAAACCATTTTAGAAGCGGTTCCAAGAGGTTGGCTTATTTGTTATAGATAATCTGAGGTTGGGTCCGCTGGGGAATTTGAGCAGGGATCCTGAATATGTTATTCATTCTTTTTGCAGAAAAGCACCTTAGGAAGTGAGTGGGAAGATGAGCGTGCAAAATATTTGGAAGATGAATAACTGAGCATGGAAAAAGTGTCTTGGAGAGTAATAGTTCTTCCCTCCTCCTGAAATGTGTTTCCCATGACCAGCAAAAATAATGACAAGCTATGATTCCTCTGTGTTTCATCAACAAGACTTGGACATTTTGTTGTAGGGTGCATTATTAGAAAATAGGTTATTTAGATTTTTCAGCAGATGTCTAGTAAAAATAGAATAAAAAATCTAATCAGCAAATCTTGGGAGATACCATGAAATAGAACCCCCTTCTATTTCACTGCACAGGAAGTGAAAGTGCAGGAGTTTTTTTGTTTTCTTTTGCTGCCTTGCTTTAACCAGTTTTGCTTTTCATTATTTAATACACAGTTTTTACTATGCAAAGCAGAATGTATTCCTAATTATCTCAGTGTAATCATGTAAAAAGTCATGAACACATTATCATCTTTAAATCTGTTTGTTATAATGTTTGTTAAAGTGAGTTGTTAACAACCTAGTTGTTAAAATGCACTATATCATTTCCTTTCTTTTAATGATCAATAGTTAAATGTAGCACAGTTATAACATCAAACATCTGAATAATAAACTGAGATCTAAATTAGTAAATCATACAAAAACTTGAAACATCTGTCTCCCATTGTGTAAATCATACTTGCTTTGAAAAAACAGACATTAACTCTTAAATTTGTAGTTTTGGGTACAGTGTGTTTATTTTTCATAGAAGAGCTCAATTAAAAAAATATTATGCTTATTTTTCTGAGTCAGAGTCTTTTTTTTGTTTTAGTTAAATCTGATTTTTAAAGTAATTTTAAATCTGAAATTATAAAAACCTGTAATTATAGTTAAGGCTTATTTACCTTTAAATTGCAGGATTTCCAGCAATGCTAAAGGTGGCATTTTTACGAAATATTGTTGATTTTGAACAATGCATCCAAATTTTTCCACCTGTAGGTCTCAGGTTAAATAATAACTTATTTGGAAAACAGTATGACTTAATTCAGTGGATGTATTAATACAGAAAGAAGGTAAAGAAAATTAGCAATGAACATGTTTGGATTTGAACCATCGTTATATGTGTTTAAATTCTTAAAACCCTGCTGTGCTTGCCCTTGAAATCCACTTTCTCCCTTCTGAAGGGGAGCCCTTCTGAAATTTTTACACAGTTCTAGATAAATTAGATAATATATCTAGATAAAAAAATAAAAGAAGATAAAAATAAAATAGATAAATTGGTATCTTAAGGTGATCTTAAACTCATCTTTAGAATAAGATTTAGCTTATTCACTCTTATAATAGGCTTTAAACTGTAATTAATATGGAGTAGGAATAGGTGTAGAGAAAAGTAATGCCTCTAATAATAATTCATACAAATACTAGGGAAAAGACTAAACCTTGATCTTACATAGGTTATAAAACATAGGTTTCTAGAACTACAGGTAAATGTCATGTTTTGGTAAACTGTCAGTTTCAAAAGGACTTTGGTGTATTCTGAAGGTTGAAGTCAGCCAATAGTGAGAAACATGAAAAAAATCCCCCAGTTGAAGTTCCATTAAAGCTGATGCAAAAGAAGCGTACATTAAATGTAACAGAATAATAATTTGAACTTAAAGATGGAGGACTCATGAGGACAAAAGTTTTGTTGAATAGTTATGCATTTTCTTTACACATAATAATCATGTAATTTTTCAAAAAAATAAACCATGCAGAAAGTTTGAAAGGTTAACATCTGAGTTTCAGCATCTCAAAAGGAGTCAGAGAAAGAGAAAAAAACAGAATCTTAATCTCTGAAGCAATAAACCTTTGTGTTACCCAAGAAATCTCAATGCCGCCTTCTTGCTTTTAACATTTCTGCTGGTGCTAATGTAAACCCAAGCTGAACATAATCTCTTTCCTAAAAGTACTTTAAATCATACAACATAAAATAGCTTTTTCTGTGGAAGGAGCTAACAAACACAAGGGTGTTTAGATATGGGGTGTCTACCAAACACTCATCGGTGTAATATTGAAGCACCGTACCCATATTTTAGTGAGTAGTCTCTCTGGAAATTTGTAAAAAGTTTTGACCTTACCTTTTTAGTTTGATATTTTCTCTAAATGGTTTTACAAATAAATGCTTTGATTGTATTTAGTAGCTTCAGCTTTTTGTAATAAATACTCTTTGTTAGTAAATGATACCATGTATGGCATTAGCATGTATTAAATTCATTAATACAGACCAAGTTTAACTCAGGATTTCATTTTTAGGATCTCTAACAAAAGAGATCATATGTGTGATATGTGTTTCTACATATTTATAGAGACATGGGGCTTTCTACATCTGGAGTGGGAAAAATAAAACCAAACATGCCTCATTATTTAAGTTTTTATATTAGCTGGAATTGACAGTAGCGTCTCTTACCACTATGAGCATGACAGAAGGAAGATCTGACATGTATCAGCTATAGGAGCTATATCTCACTCTTCCCTAAACTATACCATTTTCCATAAATATAGCAAAGATCAGTGTCCAGTGGGCACCATGTGGATCAGTATCCAGAAGTATAATGGAGGTTATTATCTACACCCATGAAGTCGTTTGCAACTAAGAGGTCACCTTAGACTTTCTCCTGTTTTCCAGTAACCCAGCTACAAGTAGTAATTAATAATTTATTTCATAGCTTTTATTGCTTTTTGTAGTCTATTCATAAGCAAAGAGTTGCCATCCATTGTTTTAGGCATAAGCTTTTCCCCAGCTTGTCATGATCTTCCCTGTTATTGCAACTTCAAGGTTTATATTACATCTGAAGATGAAGCGGAAATTTTATTGATATAGAGTACGATGATTGGCTTGCTAAGTCATACAGAAAATGTGTTTTGTATTATCAATAGCAGCTGTAGACAATGACAGCATATGACTTCATCCTTTCCATAGTGAATAATAGATTAATATAACTTAAGGATAGGTTCACTTAACAATTATGCTTTCACTTTGAAGGCAACATTTTCTTTTATTTCAGTTAATTCTTATCTTAAATCTGTTCCCCTGTTAACATTGACTTTTAGTAATTCTGATATGTTTATATTTCAGATAATTTTATCCCCAGAAGTTTAAATGGTTTAACTTCTGTCAAGTTCAGAAACCACCATCGTTTCCCCTGTACTAGAAGATAGTAATTATGACAAATAAAGTACTCAAATGTACTCTTATTTAACAGAAGGGCTTTCTAAATTCGCTGTCTTCACGTCAGCAATTTACTTATCACTGTCATCTTCTGGTTTATCTAACTGAGCTTTGATCTATTCAGTTCTAGAACTAGCTGCAAAACTTCTGATTTTATGGAGTGAATTCAGAGATTCTTTTGTTAATAAAGAACATTTAGTTTTGCAAATTAAGGGTAAATAACCTAGGGGGCAGAGGCCTCAAATTGATCATTCTAAAGATGAATGTGACTTTGACTTTTGAAGCAGTTGAATTTCACCTGCACTGAATATTAAAAGGTAAGGAATTTTAATTCTGAGGGCTCATCAGATTTAGGAATGTATCTATACAGCAGCATGGTGGAGCATAGCAGAGAGATGCCTCTACTTTCTCATGAAAGCACTATTTCTGGAACGTAGTTTACCACTACCAGATTGTTTCAGGACTTCAGCTCTGCCTGATTCTGTGTCACGTGGATGATTTAGATCAGGTTAGCACCAGCACTGACATGGCTCTATCGCACAGTAGAGATGCACTTTTAATCCTTTTGCAATTGCTCTTTCACGGAGTAAACCTTATGCAGTATACAGATTTTACTGTCATGCTGCTTTTAACCTGAAATGCATCTGACATCTCTCTTCAGGTTGCCTGGACTTTCATCAAAATTCCTTAGCACTGAGCAGTAATGTTTAAACACTAAACTGTAAGGCTGTGGTTACTGACTAACAGCATGGTAGTAAACACTATTTTAAATAATAATTTAAATTTTTAAAATTATGGTAAAAGTGCCTGGTCTTCTATGAGAAACTTTAAGTACTAAAAGTTCTTAGTCAGTCCTCAGATTTCTACTGCACTAGAGCAGCAGTTTATAGGCTACAGAGTATTTAATATTAAAAGCTGAATTTTATTTGTATTTTGTGTGGCTGTCACTTCTGCAGTTTATGATATTGACATTTCTATTACTTTGGTTGGGGAAATACCCATCATCTGAAAGACACCCTGAAGATTAGCCAAACATTTAATCTGGCAATACCATAAATCTTCCTTTGTTTTATATCAGTGTATTGACCATCAAATGCCCTCCCTGTAGGAATAAAAAAGTGCTGACTATTGTGTGATACTTTCTCTGGGAGGCAGTAGAAAAAAAAGGCAGGGTTAATAGAAACATGTATGTGGCCAGTGGATCATAAAAACCCTTAACAGGTGCTGTGGACTGTTACCAGTTATTAATCTGGTCAGCAGCTGATGCGCTCCTATTTTAAGGTCACTCCGTGTGTGCTATTGAGTTTTCAGCAAAGTCCTCTTGCTATGGTGTTTGTCAGGAAAGTTGATTAAAGAGTTTCATAGGTTAACAATGGACTGAATAGGATTATAATTTACAGGTGACTAAAGGCACTATGGCTGATCAGACCACAGTTCAATGCCTCGACTATTTAGAGAGGATCCTGGGATCTTTTCAACAATTCTTCACATTTTTCATCTGTGAATGCTTTCTTTCACATATTCTAGAGAGAAAAATATGCAATTGTATCAGACGTAATTGCTCTGATGTGGAAATATCTTCCTTGGTACTTATTCTTGTATGCTAGGAGCTGCTTGTTTACCTTAGAACTGTAAAGAAAACATAGAGACCTGAAGCACAGTGAAGCATCTTGCATTATCCATGACCTCTCTATGTCAGCTGTCTTTTCTGATCTGAAAATAAGGCAAAGTTGTGGAAATATTTTAATTTGTAGAGTAAGGTAAGCAATTTTTAATACTGCATATGATTGCAGCTGAAATAGAAATATCAGTAGGTTCTTAGCATACAATAATTGATTTTAACAGTAATCAGAAAGTAGAAGTCATGGTTTGCTGTACACTTTATTTATAGATCTGTTTTTACAACAAACCTATAGCTACTAGACCAGCCTGAATCATTTTTGAAGGGATTTTTTGAGAGTTGTTTGGCATTTTACTTTATAGCTTTAAAAGAAACGTCCCATAACATTATTCATTGAAACAAAGTGACTAAAACATTTTTCTCTGTTGGCCAGTGAAATGATAATCCTTTAAACTTAAATGATACATCTTTAAGGCGTGTTATGTGCTGAATCATCTTTCCCTTATAAAATTCTGATATATAGTTTGCCACTCAATCTAGAAATCTTTGGAGTAATTGATAATATCTTATCAGTTATTCTTTTCCAAGTACCTGATCAGAGTCTCTGTAGGGCCATCTTTGGTCTTTTAGAAAATAGCTGCCACTATTGAGACAGTAGGCCAAAATCACCTCCTCCTTTATTTCTCGGGCAATGTCTGACACAAGGATACTATTTCTAAGTCAC